TCAGTGAGTTTTCTCAAACAGCAAAAACACGCCTGGAAATGGCACCCAGATCAAAACCCAGAACCCACCAGCACCTTCCTTCCCCCAGCCATGTCCCCTTCCAGTCCCCAAGGTAACTGCCATTCTGATTTCTAACAACATGGACTGTTTGACCTGATTCCAAGCTTAATTTTTAAAAGTCGTATAGATTTTGAAATAAGACACAAAGTGAACATTTTAATATTTTACCTTTAAACTTACAGTCTTCATTACGAGTTGGATTATATTCCCCCCAAATTTATATGTTGGTGTCCTAACTCCCACGACCTCAGAATGTGATCTGATTTGAAGACAGGGTCAGGACGAGCCCGCCATGTTCCCTTCAAAGTTTAGGAAGAGTGGGGCGTGTGAAAGCTCACTCTCCTTTGCCCTTTAGAAGGGGACCTGTGGGTGTGACCTTGACAGAGGTGATCAAGTTAAAATAAGGTCATTAGGGTGAGCCCTAATGCAATGTCACTGGTATGCTTACAAATAGAGGGAAATTGGACACAGACACACACATGGAGGACGCCATGTAACGATGGATGTGGAGACTGGGGTGATGCTTCTACAAGCCAAGGAACCAAAGATTGCCAGCAACCACCAGAAGCTAGGCGAGAGGCATAAAAGAGAGTCTCCCATACAACCTCAGGGGAACTCGGACCTGCTGACACCTTGACCTCAGACTTCTGGCCTCCGGAACCATGAGAAAATACATGTCTATTGTTGAAGCTGCCAGTCTGCGGTACTTTGTCACGGCAGCCCTAGCAAACTCACACAGTCCCTCTGCCACCCTCCACGCGGCTTTTCTTCCAAAACTGCACTATATTACTCTGACACTACAGAGAAGCCCTCCTGGTTCTATTTTACATTCTTCTACAAATGAACACGATTTTTAAGGACTTTAACAAAAATGGCTCCTGGCTCCACGTGGCTTTAATAAACCAATTTAAAAGTGATAGCTGCCCGGCCTCAACCCCCATGGTCCTCAAGGGTCCCCATTTTTAGGAAGGGGAGTCCCTGGGGCCCCTGGCTGAGGTGTTCTTTGATGAGACATGTGTCCTACTTTTACAGACATATCCTCTGCCTTTGACAGGAAGAAGAGGTGGAGAAAGTGGCCAGGTCGTAACAGTGCAGCAGTGACATCCCAAGAGGGAAGGTTTGTCAATTTAATTCAGCTCCTCTGTCTCCTAGGAGAAGAGGAAGGGGAATTGGAAAGAACGAAGAGGGCCGCCTGCACTCGGTGTGGGGACACGGCCCTGCGCCAGCTTCGGCACAACCTGAAAGTTCTAGCCACCACCCCGTCTCCCCACCTACCCCCTTCCCTGCCGCCTGGCGGCTTCTCCTCCTGGACCAGCTGATGGTGATGGGAAAAGGACCCACAGAGGCTGAGTGGGCGTCGCCTGGAAAATCTGGGCTCTTCGGACTTTCGTCACGCTTTTCCGAACTGGCCCCATTCCACTTTCCAGGTGCCAAAGGGGACTAGCGACAGCCTGGAATTTAATTAATTAGCAGGAGCATCGCTGCACTTCGGCGAAAACAAATGGGTCACAGAGAATTGAAACGCTCTTTTCCCACTGGTGACCCTATTTAAGCTCTAACCGTTAAATATTTCAACAAATGTTTTAAACTACGAATTTGGGGGCCAAACAAAATAATCATCTAAGAAAAACCATCTGGATGAAAAAAGAGGCCACTTTTCCATCACACTTCTGACACTTTCAAGCACATGACTGTAGGGGGTTGGGAACGAGGGCAGTTAAAGACATGGGTATCGGCAAAGTGGCTTAGAGGCCACTTAGGGCACACGCATAGGGGCACTTGGTTGGTACATCAAAGTTTGCATTGTTACTTGAGGCCCTAAAGAGCCAAATGCAATCAAGAGGCAGGAGGTCCTACCAGTGACTTCTGCCTCCTCTGGACGCCAGCCGAGGTGACTACCCTCAGAGCGAGCACCCGTAAGAGGTCCCTCCCGCCTTCGGGCATGGTCATCTGGTGATGATAGTGCGACATGCGCACTGTGTTGCAGGTGTCCCCTCTGCTTTAATCAAGCTAGCCGTCCCGCCTGGAATGTTCCACCTGCTCCAGGTGCTGTTCCAATTCTGTTTTCTGAGGTTCGGGTCAAGGTCCACTTGATTCTTTCATTTGTTTATATAGCAAATATTTATTGAGCACCTACTGTGTGCCTGGCATTGCGCGGGCTCCAGGAACACTGTGAGGGGCAAATGGGACACAGTCCCTGCTCTTACAGAACTCATAGTCCACGGTAGGGGAGAGACAGTCATCAAATAACCCCAAACTAAAGAAACTCTGCAAATGGGTCAAGCCCCAGGATGCAGCATGCGGTATGACAGCCTGTACTGAACAGACGTGACCTGATGGCAGAGGTCCATGAGGAAGTGACCCGGCCTGAGGATCTGAAGACACAGACATTAACCTGGCAAAAAAGGGGTGAGGGGAACATCCTAAAACGGGGAACAGAATGTGCACAGCCCTTGCAGCTCAGAGAACTCAGAAATCTGAAGGCCCGAGGGACTGAGCACAAAGCAAGAAGCCAGTCCAATTGGTGACATGGTGGCCACGTCACAGAGTTTGCCTTCCATGTGAAGGAAGCCTTCAAAGATCTTGAGCAGGGAAGGGACATGATCCAATAGCTCACTCTGGCTAGCATGTGAAGAGAGTGGCAGGCAGTCATGGGGAAGCGGAGACCAGTTAGGAGGCTGTGAAGGAGGTTCCGGGGAGAGGTGATGGTGGCTGCGCCCAGGGCCGGAGGATGGGGAAAGGAGAGGGGTTTGAGAGCTTTAGGAGTCAAATTAGCAGAACTCGGTGACAAACTGGCTCTGGGGGTGAGAGGAAAGAATGACATGGACGCCTGGGTTTCTGTCCTGTACTGAGGGTGGGGCTGCCATTTAGAGACAGAGACTGGGGGTGAGGGGGGAGGCTGGTTTCAGGCACGCCACATTTGAGACACTTTCATTCACGCAAAGGAGGTTTGGTAAGCAATTGGCCAGAGGGGCTTGGGGCTCAGGGGAGTCTGCTCCCTCCACCACCTCTGCTCCCCGGCTCTGGCCAAAAGCCATGGGTGGGCTTGCAGCTCAGCCCTGCCCACACAGCCACCCTCTGAAAGTTCATCCCCTGTCCTCATCATACTGGGGCCTCGCCCATCTCGCCCATCTCCCGGATGGAGGCCTGAAGTCTGGGGTCAAGGTTAAGGCCACCCTGGCTGCTCTGAATCCACACCCTCTCCTCTTTCCCCCACCTTCACTCCTCCCCGGCCCCAGAGGCCAGGTCCTCTCCTCTTCACGGCCAGGGCCATCGACAGACGTCCATACTCGCTGTCTTCACGTCCCCTCTCGCCACTCCCCCTAAATCCGGGAAATCTCCCTTCTGCCTCTGCCACCTCCACCAAGCTGTCTCCTCTGAGGTCTCCAGGATGACCAGCTGCTCAGCTGCCCCATTGTTTTATACTTGACCTTTCCCGTGGCCTTCCTGGCATGGTTCCCTCCCGGGTCCCCCCCCCAGGGTGGCCCCGTCTCTGTCATCCATGTCTCCTCTGCCCCCTAAACTCACGGCATGCCCTAGGCTGCCCGGATCAGACAGCTGCGTCCTTCTCTCCTGGCCTGGACATTCAAGGTGGCCCCTTCCCTGTGGTCCTGCCACATTTACATGTACCACCCGACAGCTTAGGACTCGGACATTACTGGATTGTCCAGGCCGTGTCCCTCTTGCTGTCTCTTGCTGCCGTGGAGCACTCAGTTTCCACCTCCCTGCAGCCTTGTGCTCAAGAAAAACCCAGAAGCCCTTCCCTCCCTGGTGACATGCGAGGCTTGTGGAATCAAGATGAAAACTCTGAGCCGGAAATCGGAAGGGGGAAGCGGAAGCGGACAGGCCCACCGGCTTCATGCAGGGCACGTGGCAGAGGCTCCGGAGAGGGACTGGGAAGGCAGAGGGGCCCCACTTGACAAAACGGCGTGTGAGGAGTCCCAGTGTAGGGGGCGGGGGATGGGGGATGTCACCTTCTGCTCCTGGCCCGGGACCTTAAGTTCCCAGGCACGATCTCTTTACAAGCATGTATGTCGGGTCCAAATTTTGGATAATTTGCCATATGATACTCGTGTTTACTCTGAAATCAAAGAACCTTGGTGTTTCCTCTCAGGTGTGTGCCAGGTAGCATCAATTCACCAGGGACAGCAGAATAGAAAACCGAGCTTTCGTCGAAAACTTTTTTCCTTTTCTTTACCTTACTTTCTTCTCCCAATGCCAAGTGTTACGTTCCTTTTAATTTCTGAGCATCTCATTTTTACCTTTTGGAGATCTGACAGTGGCTTCCAGCTTCGGCTGCCCCGTGGAATCAGCCTGGCATCTTCCAAATAACACTGACACCTCCCCCCCACCCCCGCCGCCGCCCCCAATCTCACCCTGAGATTCGACGGAGTTGCTGGGAGGTAGGCCCAGGCATCCGGGTGTTTAAACGCCCCGAGCGATTCTAACATGCGGCCACAGGTTGAGAACCACAGTGTGGAGGCTGAATGATGATGGCTCCACTGTAAACCATTTGCCTTTCTCTACTTCTGTGTCCCACAATAATTGGTTTCCTTTCCACTCTCCCCTCAAAATGAAAATCCAAACCTCCTCAGAGGTCCTGGACTCGGCTCCGGGGTCACTCACCTCACAGGGCTCTTTGGTGGGCCTGCACTTTTCTATCTGGTAGAGCTGGGTCTTGCAGCAGACACTGTCCTGGATGTCAGGTTTCTGCCAGAGGAGAAGAGAAAAAAGCACTGATGGCTTCACTCGCAAGAAATAGAAATGTCCGTTAAACAGTCATTAATTTTTAAACCGGTGTTTGGCTGACAGAGAAACCGGGTGGCAAGCCAGTTAATTGCAATGGAAAGCCTCATCCAAGGCAGCACGAAGCCTGGAGACAGAGCCCCGGCCCAGAGTCAGGAGACCTACTTATGTTACTGGCTCTGCCAGCAAAGGGCCCAGGTGGCCCTGGGCAGGTCAGCGCTCCTTGCTGGCCTTGGTTCTTTCGCCTGTGCAACGAAGACTATCTAAGATCTGAAAGCAGAAACCAAACATGTGAGCTGGGAAGAATAATTTATTTTACTAAACTGCTAAATAGGATACAGATCACTCATTTGCTTATTTAGAAACAGCCCTAGTCCCTGTCTGCCCCCTGCCCCAGCCCAATAAAAGTCACAGCAATTCACGATGTAGCTAAAAGAAGAAGGTGGACAACAGCACCCAAATGATCTAGGGGCATGAGTTAGGTGTGACTCCATCTGGAGACAGGGGAAAATTAAATGACTGATGAATTAATTTATCAACCAACAAATATTCACAGAATGTCCTTACATTATCTCCAAATTAAAATCCGTGCTTCTTGGCTTTAGAAAAAGGAAAGTAGCTTTGTTTTCAAAATTATACATGAGTTGTTAGTAATTGGTTGATGAGATTAATAACTGGGACAGTGCCTACAGTGCAATTAAATTAGCCACATGTAGAAATTACTGAGAGGCCCAGCTGTAGTTGTCTGTGGGGATTAATTCACTCCAGTTAAAAGCAGCCACTCGCCGGGAGAATTTGAGATCTTGCTTTCTGACATATCATCAGTTTGGCTCAAATAAACTCTTATAATAATTAAAAAAAAAAAAAAAAAAGCATCCACTTTCCTAGACATTGGTTGTCAGACCAGGTATGTCCTATGATTTAACGGTTAAGTGCAAAAACAGACACAATAAAGTAAGAACCTTCTCCAGTTAGAACTCCATTAGCTGAGTTTCCAAGAAACCTTCTCAGTAGACAAAGTCATGCTCCCACCGCAGCCCTGAAACCCTGATGCTGGGCAGAGTGGAGGAGCAGAAATATAGCAGATGGCAAGACATCCAGACAAATCAAGACGGGGCCTCAGAACCGTGGACAAATGTCTCTCTTGCTTGGGATAAGCCAGCCGCATGAATATTGAGGAAGCGTGTGAGTAGCCAAGTTTGTATCACAGATGTGGAGGTAGACACAGGGAAATAAGTATTTAAAAAACTAAAGCCCCTCCATCTTATTGATCGGCATCCCCCAAAAAACTAGTTCTACCCAAAGGAGAAGGTTTGAATCTGCAAGCTTACTCAGGAAAGTAGCAATGTCATCTTAAAAATGTGAAATCATGAACTTTACAGTCAGTTCCATAGAAACATTTTCAGCGTGTTGATCTTCTCTTCCTTTTACTTAATAATTTAAATTCTTAACCATTGCCCTCTGCTGTGATGATCCCAAAGGGTGTGACTTGAACCCATACGAGCGAAAAAATTGTAAGCAGGCACATACAATCTATTCACATTTATTTACAAATTATAATCCTGTAACGCTGTACTAATATGTATATTATAAAATATGTAATAAAATAAAAATTAAAAATAAGAAAGAAATGAGGGACATTGGGTCTTCTTATAAAAGAGAAATTAAAAAACAGCTTCAAGTCCAACTGTCTTTTAAGTTTATGGTCATAAACTGTCTTTTAAGAACAGAGAACCTCTGCATGGCACAAGAAATTTTCATAATCACTCCTTATCCATAATAAATGATATAAATAATACGCTATGTGTCAAAGGTCCTACCTCTCTGGCCTCAGTTTCTCTCCTGCAGTAGCTTTCCTGGGACCGTGGCACTATCTCTAAAATCTAGCCTCAAAGCTGCGTATTTTTGCCCATCGGAATTGTTGTCCCATCTCTGCTTACACGGGGCACATTTTTTTTCCTCCATAAAACATTGCTCTTATGTTTAAAAGCCTATTACTGTTGAGAGTGTTTCTTCTCATGTACATCTTTCCTTTGGTGGTTCACCCAAAAAAGTAATTGAGGAAAATTTCCTGTTGACGCAAAATCTAGCAAACACCCAAAGCTGAATCAGCTTAGAAACATCTGTATTTTTTCATCCAGCTGTTTCACAAACCTCCTGTCGCGCTTCTTCATCTATTTAGCGATGTTTTCTAGACATCTCCCAAATCTATTCACTGAAGAGACAGACTCAGACCATCTCGTCTTCTGAGCATTATTTTGGTCACTTCCGCCATGGCAGGGAGAATATCATTTCCCCAATTGTGGGTGGATTTTCATCTTTACCTCTAACACAGAAACCTCACAAAAGGTTTCTGAGCCTGTTGTTTAGTGAGATTTGGTGAAATGTTAAGCAGGCTATCACATGACTTTAAATAGCACTGAACAAATTCTAGAAGTTCATCTTCCTGTTCTGGATTCTAAATGTCTCCCTAACAGTGATGACCCCCACGATCAGATCTCAAGGTGCCGTACGCACAGGGCGAAGGTCATCCTTCACGACAGTGAGCACGAAATCAAATTTCGAGTTTCCTGACAATGTTGAATTTCTGAGGTGGAATTCCCGTCAGCCCCCGCCATCTGGTCAGCCCCCACCATTCCGAGTAGAAGAAGCTGGAAGAGTGATATGCAGAATCTATACTGCCTCGGATGCAATATTATCTGCAGAATTATTTTTAAGCCATTGTCCACGTGGAGGAGATGATTTAATCAAAACTAAATCCTGGATGCCAAAGCACGTAAATTCCCTTACCCAGGCACACATGAACTGCTTGTGGCAGAAGGATGAAGGTGACCAAAGCGTGAGGGTACCACCGTTCACCCCAGGATATAGGACTCTCAGCTGTACCTCACGTAACCCAGGTCACCTGGAGTCTCTGACACCCAGACTGAGAGAAGAAGCCAGGGTCAAGCTAGGGAAGCTCAATTTCATTCTTATTTTCTGGACAAGTACATGTAAACAGAGGCTTTCTCCAATACCATATTTTAGAGGCGATTTTCATAACCACACAAGTCCCCAATGCCTCTATTGTGGGGACCCCAAGGAGCTACAAGGCAGCAGAACAAAAAGGGCAGAAGAGAAGCTTAAGGGAAAAGAGGACTGAGCCTTTCACAAGTCTGCCCAGAGCTGAACTCTGTGGGAGAATATTGGAAAAACACGTCCGATAAAAAGCGCCAGCTACCTGAGAAGCAGGTTTTGCTATTTTATCCCACGTTCAGGAAACTCATCGTCACATCAGTTTAAATGAACAGCTTAGATCAAGTGTCAGCACCTAGGAAACGCTTGAGTGTAAGAGCTCCTTTTTCCACAGACAGAAACCGCCATTAGGGCCCCACTTACCCCTGACAAATAGCGCTCGAGTTTCTTGTTTAAGAGGAAGTAGATGGCAAGGATGTGGCAGGCGCGATTGGAGAGCACGGTGTTGATCACGTCGCTGTTCTTGTAGCCCAGCTTCTCGGTCATGTGCAGCACCACGCTTGGGCTCAGATCTTCCAGGGAGATCCTGCGTGGCGGAGGGACAGAGAGCCGGTCACTTCTCCGCCTTCACAGAGAGGCTCCGGGCTCCTTGGTGATGCCCACAAACATGGCCACACAGGGCAATCGGGTCTACTCATTCAGTCACCCCTTCGTCCACTTGACTTTTTATGATGCGAAGTTTCCCATACACAGAAAAGTAAAGGATCAGCCTAGCTGTACCCAACACCTGGAGGTACACATTGTTAACACTTTGCCATACTTGTTTGATTGATTGATTTGTCACTGAAGTATTTTGCGTCACAGACATCATGACATTTCATCCCTGAACGCCCGGTGTGCCTCTTTAAAAATATAGGAGATCTTCTGCAGAGTCACAATATCGTCAACACACCTGACAAAATTTTAGTCATGTCTTAATATTCTCTAATCTCTAGACTATATTCAGATTTCCCCAGGTGTCCCCAAATTTCTTCACAATTTGACATTCTTTCCTTAAAATGTACTTATTGGACCTGGGTGGAGGCCACACTAGAGTTGGGTGTAAGTCAGGCAGGGAAAGGAGAGTGTACAGGAGCCAGCCCAGACCGTGTGTAGAGGAATGGCGTGAGTTCACAAGTTCACAAATACAGAATTTGTGGCTCAGCTGTAAAGCAGGGTACTCAGAGTACAGGTTAAAGCTTCTTCGCAGGAATATTATGAAGATAAACTCCTTGAGATAAAGTACCAAAGAAACACCAGGCATTCATTTATCCACTTATTCATTCATTCATTCATTCATTCATTCATTCAACAAGTCCTTGCCCCATGGAGTTCACAGCCCAGTGGAGAAGAGAGAAAATACATTCATTTAGTCTTCACGACAGTCTTATGAGTGGGTACTATTACTATCCCCATTTTATACATGAAGAAACTAAAGCCCACAGCAATGAAGCATGTGCCCACGGTCACACAGGCAGGAAGTAGCCACTCCAGAATTCAACCCCCTGGAAGCCCAGCTCAGATAAGATGCTAGACCTCTACACTCACCGCCTCTCAGATAAACAGATACTCTGAACGACTATGGAGAACAAGAAAGCAGGCTGAGAAGTATAGAGCATGTGTGTTGGTAGCAGAGGGTGCGTCATCAGCTAGAACATTCTAAATCCCTTAAGAAGATACAAATAGGGCACTCTGTGAGCAGAAGGCTAGTACATCTGGCTAGAAAGCTCTGTAACCCCCGTCGGAGTGTGCGAAGACATTTTTGATAGATTCCCAGAACCATAACGGCCCGAGAAACCACACAGTACAATCTCTTATTGGTAAGAGAAGAGGAAGCCCACCTGCCAAGTTCATAGGCCAGTTGGTAGGGGCGGAATCAGCAGACCGAGGTCAGCGGACCCTCTTCCGCCACTTGTCAGTGTAACTCGTGTCACCACTCCCTCTCCTGAATTTGACTAAGTGCCATTCAAACAAAATGCACCCAAGGAACCATGAAATCTACCTTCCTCACTCCTGTTTGGCCACAAAATCACAAATTCTAGATAATGGGTAGGAAGAGGGTTGGAATGAGAATGGTAAAAAACTGTGAAAAAAGAATACCATTACTTTACGACTGCCAAAACACTTAACACATAAGTCTCTGTTGTTTGAAACTACCTGGTAATGCTTGTGTGGGAGTGACCCCGCCCCAGCCAATCAGACCACAGGCACTGGACCCCATTCCTGGAAAACCAGACTACTGCCATGAACCTTGACCTTGGCCAATCGGCCACGGCCTCATGGGCCTGCCGCAGCCAATCAGACCACTGTTGTGTGCCCTGATCTTGGCCAGTACAATCACAGCCTCATGGCCTCACCCCTGACCAATCAGAGGATGGGCCTGGCGATCCTACCCCTGGCCAATCAACCCACCACCACACTTAGTTGGCCCCACCCTCTACCAGGAGCCGGCTCCAGAAGGGAGAGCGCTCTGGATGTGGGGTGCCACCAGGGTGGGGCTAGGAGGAGGACGTGAGAAGAAGGTACATGAGCAGGGGCAGACACCCCATCTCTGCCTTTTACGTCCTTTCTCTTCAAAACAGGAGAGCTGTGCCCAAACAGACTGCCAAGTGACTCCTGACCGAGAGTCATATTTTAAACATTCTTCAATAAGCATGTATATATTTGGTGTCTGCCAATATCAGTCATTGAATTGGTATTATCGCTCCATGTTTGGATGATATAGACAATAGTAAAATATTCCAGAACACTAGATATAATTCTGAATAAATCCTCAGAAAAGCCATCTGTATGCCACTTTGGTTTAACTCCGTCCTGTGTTACCAACGACCTCCTTGCCTTCCCACCCTCTCCAGAGCTAGCTCGAGGCCTGGGAGACTCTCCAAGCCCAGGTAGGGAGATGGGAGGCAGCCCTGCACACGGCAAACATCTGCTGAGTAACTGGCATGAACACGTACTATAAAAAGTTTACCCTTAAAGACATTTTGCTCTTGCCTTTTGGAGATCAACTTGGAGGCTCAAATGACTTAACAAGTCTTTCTAGAAGAGTGATATAAAACACGAGACCTTTATTTTCTTTCTTTCCCAACAGAAAAACACTGACAACCTCTAAAATAATTAAATCTGGGGCTGGGTATGTTGGGAAGCTATAAAATATACTTTATAAAGAAAATATTTCTTAGGTTACATGTTCTTACTCCATTTATCTGTGGGTGGTAAAACCAGCAAAATAATTATCATTTTCCCCCACTTTAAACGTTTTTTAAAATATTGTAAATCACGTGTGCTCCCCCCAACAGCTGAGAATTCCAGTTTCATTACTTAAAAACTGAACAATGATTTGCCTCCAGTATGAGTTATAGGCCTTACTTACATAAACAAAAGACATTAAGCAGTGTTTTCTTTAATATACAAGATCTTAACCATTTTTACAATCTACCTAACTAGTTCGTATGCAGCGCTTATGCTTCTGACCAATTCTAAGTTCAAAAATCTTAATCTGGACAAACCAGTTAGAATACTTGAGTTTAAATTTTAATCTACAAAAGCCAGTCTACAATCGGTGGAAAAGCTACAAAATAAGACACCACAGCATGATCCTTTTTGAATGAAGATTTGCCCAACAGGGAGGGGAGACCGCACTTCTAATACCAGCTCCACCTCCTTCAGCAGCTGCCATGTTGAGTGGATTGATCACGCTCATTTAGATCGTGATTATATTAGCTTAATGACTAATTTGGCTGCCACCCGTGTACCTTCCCTTTAACAGAAAGGGGACCTGTGTGCTGCTCTCATTATGAGCATCGGTGACAAAGCATGGCCCCTCAGTTCTGCTTTCCGTCTCACATTGGGGTAATATTTCTGGTGTCCGTTTCAGATACTGGCCCAAATCGAGCTGGTGTTGGAAAGCAGCAGTTTATTTCCAGGTTCCCCTGGTAACCTAAGTAACTTAGACTTTAAATTACCTCCCATGAGTCAAATGCTAGAATTCTAGATGGCAACCACCTCATCTAAGACTGTGGCGAGTGTAAGTTTGACCCAGTAGCACGAACACAGACACCGGGAATGTCTACCTAGACCCTCTCAAGTTCTTCTAGAATTTCCACCTGAAGGCAGAGTTCTGCTGGCCCATCTCATTTGGAGAAATCAGCATTACAGCTTTCATAAGGATCGGTGGAAGATTCCAGATCTTCCTGGGCATTTTGAAAATATGATCGCAGAAGACCCTCTTTCCTTGCCCTGCCTCTCCCCGACTTGTCCCCCTTCATCAATGGTTCTCTTGGTGTCACTGACCTGGGCCACTGCAGTTCTAAGGAAGGAGGAGCCAATGTGGATGCCAATCTCCTGGATGTCTGGCCTCCATGTCTGCTCATTTCCTCACTTGGGTTAGTTATAGCCATACGTTAAATGAGTAGAAAGAAGTATAAGGAAATGTTTTCTTATGCTCGGCTTCAACTCTGCAGTCAGCACCCCAGCATAGAGTGCTGGGTGTCTCCCTGCTGTGGATTCCTGTCTGTAAGCTCTCCTTAAAGATTCCACCTCATGGAATCTGCTAACGCGCCCCGAAGCTAATGACTCCTTCCATTGCCTTTACTTCCCACCCCCGAAATTTTAAGGCAGTGGATTGACTTAGGGCTGAGATAAACATCAGTGCAAAGAAGGGGCAGAGGAGGAGCTCAAGGGGTGGGTTGAAAGGGGACAGATGCAATTCCACTGGATTCTGAATGATGCTGGCAGGAGAATCCGTGGGTGGACAACACACACACACACGCACACGCACACGCACACGCACACACACATGCATACTCATTCAGACCATAGCTAGTCTAAAGGATCCTTTTGTACAAATTAGAAACAGGTACCTCTCTGGGAAGAAATAGCCCTCTGTAGCAGGTTTGACAAGGTAAGTGTGGCCTGGATTTCAGCCCCCACCCACCTCTGCCGGGCATCCCCTGTAGGGCACACGGGATGGCCCGTCTACACATCCTCTTGAGCACTGAAGTGGCTTTGTCCATGGGCGTGTGGGCACGGGATGGCCCGTCTACACATCCTCTTGAGCACTGGCTTTGTCCATGGGCATGTGGGTGCGAAGCGGGGAAGGACAGCCAAGAGGAAATGCAGCTTGCCCTTGAATCACACATGGCTTCCTGTCCAGAACTATTCAGGGCTTCTGACCCAAGAAGGGGGTCCCTCTGTTGTGTGCACTTGATTACCTGTTGGGATAGGTGACATTATATGGCACTTTGCCCATGTAATTCTCATTAAGCCAGCGATTCGCCAGTGCTTGCTGAATGTTGGGCCTCTTCACAGGATCCGGCTCCAGGAGAGAGCGCAGGAAGTTGATGGCTCCTGTGAAAACATTCGGCAAAGAACACACCAGTGTTACAGGCTAAACGTAGATGCCACTGAGACTCAAGGCACATGACCCACCACCTCTCCTGAGCCACTGCCAGCACTGATCTAGTCTCTGAATCTCTGGGTGCCACAAATCCAAAAAGTCTAAAATCTCAGTTCAAGCAAGGCAGCTGGTACATTGTAAAGTAAGCAGCATTTTGGGTCTCCAATGCCCTGCACTTCCTAGTACAACCTGTGACCTTTTCTTGTGATCCACCCAAAAGGTGAGCCAAAGAGATGTTCTATTCACAGGCTTGAAGGGATGAAAGGAAGTGAAGAGAAGATGCTTGATCTCAAGGTAGGTTTCTGAGCACTTGGAAAGGAACTAGGGTAAAGGTATTCTAAATTAGACGCTAACTTGTCCCTCACTGTGTGACACCCTGAGTCTCAACAGACCAGAGAAGTCCTGTTTTCTTTCTGGTCCTTTGTTTTAAAACCATTCTCCATGGCCGCCAGGTTAGTCCCCAGACTCTGAACTGATGGTGCAGCATGCAGACCGGAGAGGGCCTATGCCCACTTGGCTGAGCCAATCAGGCTGATATAACGCCAGACAGCCAGTTTTCGCTAAAGTGTTAAGTAAACTCTAACAGCGACTCGAGTTTTAAAATTCAAGTTCATATACAAAGTTCCGGCCAGCGCCACACCATAAACACCCATCTATTCAATGGCCTCTCTCCTTTTGTGCTGTCCCTCAAAATGATGAAGCTGCTTGAATGCAAAGTATGCCAAGAAGGTTTGTCTTTCTTTTTCAGCCTATCAAAGTCTGCTGCAAAGTCACTGAGCATGGTGGATAAGGAAAGAATATGAGAAACAACTACCGAGCTACAAAATCTCCACAGCCCCTTGCCCTTCCAGCTCAGGCAAAACCCATTTTGTCAGATGCCCTGGGTCTCCTTTTATTAAACATTTACAGAGCATCTGCTGTCCACCCAGACACTAGGGACAGAAAGCTGGTTCATCTCTAGGTAGAATATTTGCATCCTGCAAGATTTATAAGAATGGAGACAACTGCATGACGTGGAAAAATATATCTATAATGCACATGAAGGTTACAGGCTCCAACATTGTTCAGCATGAGAATATTCATGTCATCATTGGAACAAAGAATGCCAGGGATGCTTCAAAATGGTCTGTTTTGCTGGAGTTGTGGGACCATGATATTTTCCTATTCTATATTCCTTATTTTGTGCAGCATTGTTATATAGTCTTTACAATATAAAAACATTCTTTTCCATAGTTTTGTACATGATATCTAATTTTCAGTATGTCAAATAACAGATCTTGGAAAATCATCTTCATTTGCTTAGTCCCCAAACTTTTCTATCCTTTGCTCCAAAGCTATTTTTCAGTTTTCTAAGATAATCTAACCTTCTGAGGAAAAGTCATAAAAATTCTCACTTTCTCACAGGCTTTAGTTGTCATTTTAAAACTGTCCTTTACAGAATGATGAGTGTTTCCTATCAACCATTTTCTGCAACGTAGAAATGAAGCCATCAAAAAAGGGGCTAATTGTGGTGCCAGGATCAACCTCCCAAAAAACAACTTTTGCTAGATCATGCCACCAGGTAACTCCTCCAGGTGAGTTCCCATACAGTTGACGAGGTCACCGGAAGGTCGTTTCTCTTTAAAAATGTAGTAGATAAAAAGACATGTGTAGACACCAAAGCAGTCGTGAGATACATTTAATATTCTAAGTTTTATAGCTGAGTCTTCAATGGTCTGAAAAGCAAACGGATCTCCAAAAAGAGGGGTTCTCCTCCTTCTCTCAACTCCCTTACATTACAAGAGTCAGTTGGATGCTTAATCGGGCACATGTTTTGGTTAAAGAAAAAAAGATGTGGGCTCAATGAACTGATACTGATGCTTCTGAGACATCCCTGTCGCTTACCCACGAAGGACCTGGACAGCAAATCCAGGCTACTGCCAGGTCTCTTCACAGTATCATTAACGAGGGGAGCTAAAAACAGACTGGATGTGCGTTTTTTGTTTTTTTTTTTCTATTTTCAGAACCAAATGCTCTGCATCTTCACGAATTGCTAATGAGCCCAAGTAATTTTAGTTCAACTCTTTACCGACAAATTTTATTACTTCGGACATTACAAACATTGCATTATCCTAAAGACATTAAAGACATCCTTAGAGCTCTCCGAAGTTTGCATTAGGGTCCTGAAAATCCTTATGACTCATGAGCCAAAGGGATTAAGATAATTCTTCACTGTCCTGGAGAGCCGTGGCGGGCACGGCCAGCCATCACATGCCACTCTTCCGAGCTAGGTAGGACATGGGCTCTCCACTCAGGCCTGAGAGTGGGGGTGACCGACAAGGGGTGGTCCCTCTCCATACCCCCCATCTTTGTACAGCACACACTTTTGTGCAAAACCTACTTTCCTTCATGAGGCATCAGCTTTCCAAAGTCTGAACCAGCTTGTGCGAGCACCTTGACCTGTGCCAAGGGAAAGGGCCACAGGACGCAGAGCCATCAGACTTGTTGCATTAGTGGAGCCCATTGGATGCAAGTAGAGTCCCATCCCCACCCGAAGTTCCTTCCTCATCACCTCCCTGGGAAAGCAGCAATGACAATGATTTGACAGCTGAGACTTCTCAGAAATCTTAACTGGCATTGGCTCAATCCTCACAAATGCTAACGCCTCATCTGCAGCTTCGCTTCAGTGACTACACATTACAAAACCTCTTGATCTGAAGGGATTGTTCGGAATGTATTATAAGTGCCATCACCGAAGTGTAGTGATAAAAAGGTAAGCTGTCTGAAAAATGTGTAAACCACGAAAGGCGTTCGTGACTCTGTGATATACAAGCGCCAACAAGCAGAAACAGACACTGTCTAGAAGCGAGAACTGGAAAGGCCCCAAAAGCTTAAGTTTTCAAACTACAAACGGTCCTTGATTTACGACTGTTCGGCTTGTGATTTTTGGACTTTTCGACAGTGTGAAAGCGATACACATAATAAATTACATGAGACAGTCAACACTTTAGTATAAAATAGGCTTTGTGTTAGATGATTTTGCCCAGCTGCAGGCTGAGGCAGCTGTTCTAGGCATGTTTCAGGTAGGCGGGGCTAAGCTATGCTCGGTAAGTTAGGTGTATTACATGCATTTTCAACTTACAATATTTTCAACTTACAATGGCTTTATCAGAACATAACCCCATCGTAAGTTGAGGAGCATCTGTACGTGGTAAAAATGAAGGACAATTCTTCCAAAGCATGCACGATGTACTCACAAGGACAACAATGTATATTTTTCAACTCAAAGTTGGCAAAAATTCTTCCAACTTAATCTGAAAAAAGTATACTATTAAACAATAGACGTGAAGAAGTCGTTATACATATGAGTGACAGAATCATTACATTTATAAGACGTGTTCGTGGGACACTTAATAAAATGGCGTGTTTTCAATTTGGGCAATTCAATTTTGATGTTAGTCAAAACATAAGGGCAACAGATAATACCACCAAATCTCGGGTGGGGGAATGGTGGCAGTGGCATCTTATACTAAATAAAATAAGGCAAAAAAGAGAAAAGAGTAGAGTACAGTAGTAAAATCCAGTTTGGGTGGGTTCAAGCAGACATAAATTCAAAAATAGAGAAGGTACCTAATCTCGCTGAGACTCAGTTTTGTCCTCATTGATAAATTGGGAATAAGAGTACTTACCTGTGGTTATGAGAACAAGAGAGATAGTATGAAAAGCACTCACACATGGCCATTCGATAAACAGCAGCTACTCTTGTTTACTGGTAAACGAGTATTTGGGGATGTAAACAGATGGTATAAAGGAAGGTGGCTCAGGCTGGTTGGAAGGGAGGAGAGATAAACTTGGTGGGGTGCAAAGGCAAAGAGTTGGAGAAACAGGGGGCTGTCCGAAGGGCAGTGGCAGATCCCCAAAACGGAAGTCATTCGCTCAGGAAACAAGATAAGATGCCTTATCTTCCTCAGCAGCTGGGGCGCAGCTACGGGCCCTACCACATCGGGCCAGTTCCCAGCCTGAGTAGTTGAATGAACCCGTGGGCTGCCTTCCCAGGCCACACGCTTGAACTCCAGAATCAGCAACCGAGATTCATGCACATCTATTTGTGCAAACACTATGTTTGATACCTGGCACAAAGGGTTAAAGCCCTAGTTGAGATATTTACATATCCCAATAGTAAAAATAATAATAATAATAATAATAATAATAATAATGAGGAGGTGGGGTCCAAAATTCCTTAATGTAAAATCAGATATAAAAATGCAATTCATGCTTGGCGAGCCAAGACAACAAATCCTGTAGGAATGTGAAGATCTTTAACAAGCACGCACAGAGCTTAAGGCCAAAGTCGAAACTGTCTGCTTGGAACAGGAGCTGTTCGAGGTTGGATACCAGCTCCAGTGATGCTGAAATCACTCGGAACATTTCTAATATGTCTTCTTTGGAATTTCCTTTGGTCTCTTTGTTAATTTCTTCAGGGGAGCACCGTTCACTTCTTTAGAGTAAATTTAATTTCTACAATCCGAAAACTATGAAGTCTGAGTCTAGTATTGGAGGTTGAAACCAGGTTGATTCTGAAGAGACTGATTTTCTCCTGTTGTTAATCTACCTGCCCTCCCCCTGCTGCCCGACCCGCCCCAGTGGCGATCACAGCCTGTTCCTCCTCCCACAGCCTATGCCCCATAAAGATGCTGTTCAACAGGTATTTCTGGCTTTCTGCATTCTAGACATATGGTAGGATTGCACTTTCCCAATCCCTTTATGTGGGTAAAGCCGTGTGATGTTTTAGAAAGTCAGGAGCTATGAGTGGAATGCTGGTAGAAGATTTATCTTCCTATGGTGGAAGGAAAGAAGAAATATTCTTCCTTACCAGATGTGTTTAAAGTGGTGACTGTACCGCAGGTCTGGAACCCTGACCGACTGGGATGGGAAGAACCTTTCAATCCTCCATCAGACTCTTGATAGATAAGTGGCATGAATGAGAAATAAATCATTGTCTTAAACCACTGAGATTTCAGGGCTATTTGTTACTGCAGCATAACCTGGCCTATCCTGACTAATATTCTGAGAAGAAGTTCTTCAGCTCCTCAGGATCTCGCTGGGATTCAAAATCTCTACCTTTTGCAGGCAAGGGGGTACAGACACCCTCCTATTGTCCTTTGTTATGAGTCCTGAGGACAAAACAGGCTCTGAACCATAAGAGGAACCCCAGAATCACTCTGAGAGACTGCTGTGAAAGACTGCATTTATTTGTAAACATTAAATCTTAGTAATTACCACAAGATACCATTAGACCCCTATCAGAATGGCTAAAATAAAAAAAACAGTGATAGTATTAAATGCTGGCAAAGTTGCAAAGAAACAGGATCACTCATCCATTGCTAACGGGAATGCAAAATGGTGCAGCCACTCTGGACAAGAGAGTGGCAGTTCCTTACAGAACTAAATGAGTGTCTATCATATGACCTGCAATTTCACGCTTAGACATTTGTCCCAGAGAAAGGAAAACATGTTCGCACAAAAACCAGTACGTGAACGTTGACGGCAGATTTCTTCGCCGTAGCCCAAAGCTGGAAACAACCCAATGTCCTCCAACGGGTGAATGATTAAACAAACTGTGATATATCTATACTTTGGAATTTTACTCGGCAATGAAAAGAAACAAAAGATTGATACGTGCAACAACTTGGATGGATCTCAAGGAAATGAGGCTGAGTGAAAAAAGCCATACATATAGCATTTTTGAAATGACAAAATTATAGTGATGAAGAACAGGTTAGTGTTAAGGAGAGAGGCAGGAAGGTGTCCATGGCTACAGAAGGGTAGCAAGGGGAATTCTGGTCATGGGACTAACTGTTCTGTATCTTGAACGTGGTAGTTGTCCTATGAATCTACACCCGTGATAAAATTGCATAGAATTAAATATACACCGACACACTCAAGTACATCCAATGTAAATAAGGTCAATGGATTTAATCAATGTCAGTTTCCTGGTGGTGATATTATACTGCAGTTATGCAATATATTACCAATGGGGTGGGTGGTGGGGAACTAGGTTAAGGCTGGACAGACCGCCATGATTTCTAGCAACTACATGTGACTCTACAACTACACCACAATAAAAAGGTTTTTAAAATTTTTATTTGTGAAAAAAACTATCTTTACTCTCTATCTCCTTATTATGATTTATTATATTTTCTTACATTTGCACTACCAAACATCACACATGCTTATTTGCTTATTTTTAGCCTCCCCCATTGATATGTAAGCTCTGAATGGATGAAGACTGAATCTGTTCTGTCTTCTGTCTTCCCGGCACCTAGAGCATTCCTAGCGTATAGTTGGTGCACAATACAGATTCATGGAATAAGTGAATGAATACGAAATGCAGAATGAATGAATGAACACTCCTCATAGCGCTTTGCAGCACTTTCAACATTTCTAAAAGCTCTGAAATCTAAATATAACAATTCGTTCAACGTTTTGCACATTTTCTAACTCCAAGAGTCACTGCTCTCAGTGCAGAAATATTTCTTTTGTAATGACAGAACCATAACTCATTTTCCCTAAGTACTTAAGTATTTCCCTAACTCCATAACTACATAATGCCTCCTTTGCTTTTAGCTTCCACAGATTCTACCCTCCCTAGGAAAGGTGAAAGTATGGACCAAATTAGATAATTACATACGAGAAATCATTTTGGCTTGGATTCCATTTGGCTAGCATAAATTCAGGGTCAGCTTCAAGGATTCTTTATAAATGCAAGAGAAAAATACATAACAGTAGTAAAATTAAAATGCTATATTTTAACCATGTACCATAAGTTGAAATTAAATAATTACTTTTTTTTTTTTTTTTTTGGCCACATGCCTTATCTCAGTGAAGCTGAGTTTATTCTAGAAAGCCAATTAAATGATTGTGAAGACCAGCCTGAGGCCAGGAACTTGAAGTGAATCGTGATCCAAACAAAAGAACAAACTGTACTAATTTACTGGATCTGAAACCAAACCTTAATATGAACTGTTTACTGAAATGTGAACCCGCTAAAGTTTGAGAATATCTCCAAACACACCTGATGATTCAGTCTAATCAAGTAACTGAGTGTATGTGTATGTGTGTGTGTGTGTGTGTGTGTGTGTGTGTGCGTGTATTTAAAAGTTTTGAAAGGGCTCAAAAACTCAAATAGCAAAACAAACTATAGACCGAACCTGAAAAAACCTAATATTTCTTTACAGTGAATTGACTAAGGAAGACACAATAGAAACATGATTATAAACACTCTTCTCAAAGTCAACATTATCCTAGAGAGGGTAAAATCTGTGGAAGCTAAAGCAATCAAGCCTGCAATTATTTTTTCCAATGGACAATCTAAGATCCTTTTGATATGTTTTAGGCAGAAGGAGGAAGGAGGAAGTTAGGGACTCAGAATTATAATGGAAAAGGAAAGGCTCAAGGTGAGATGACAGGTGTGGCTATTTTTAACCGCTGTGGCGACTAGTTCTAACTCTAGAATCATGGGTACTCCTAATCCCCTTGCTGCAAAACAAATACAGCTTCAGATGGACCCAAACTGGATGGCACTCAAGTCCTGAAACCCAGAATCCGGAACAGCAGGTGCATTACCTGTGGAGAGCTGGGTGGGGAGGGGGTTCATTTCCTTGTCCACCATCTTCTGGTACAAAGCCCTCAGGCTGAAAGGCTCCACTGTGAAAGGCAGGGTCCCGGTCAACATGGCGTACATGTTCACACCTCTGAAAAGACAGACACCAAAGGATGAGACCAGAATAAAGCTCCCAGGGAGAGGACAACAAAGAGAGCTCGGCCTTGGCAAAGTTTCGGTCCTGTCACTTTCACGTCCACCTTAAGAGGTCTCTTTCTTCATAGTCGTCCTTTTAGAACCCTCAGCACACCGAAGGGTGAAGGCAGGACTGTGGAGGCTTCGGAGAGTGAATTACGGAGGTCAGAGCTATCGAAAGGCCTCCAAGAGCTGCCCGCCTGAGGCAGAAACCATGCCCCTTCCTTCTGAATGGAAGTCCAGACCAAATTATGTGGAAAATGCCTGAGAGATGTTAGGAACCTCAAATAAATACGGTCTTGTCATTATGTGGTTTTCAAGTGTGGTTTATAAGGTGGAGCCTGGAGACCAGACCAAAACCTGTAAGGCGAGTCCTTGCATGGCAGAACAAGCCGAGCCGAGCCGAGCTGAGCCGAGCCGAGCCGGCAAGCCTGGTGACTGCTCAGCCTTTTCCAATGAAAATCTTATACGAAAAACTCGTGTTTTACTCATCCTTTGAATTTTGTTTTGGCCTCTAACTAAAGAAATTCCTTGGAAGGGGAGTGGGGGGGTGGCGTCCTTCCTACTCTTACCTTTTATATCATGGTTTATCGTGAGATTCTGCACCCAGCCCAGGCCCAACATCTCAGATGTGGCTGAAATACCCTCCGACCGGGCTAAACCACTTATATTCAATGCCCGTCTAGAGAACAGCAACATCTCCTTGGAGGATTTTTATTTTCTTGATGTATAAGTCTAATATCATTTTAATGAGATTTCCTGATGGGATGAAATGCCTGCCTGCCAAGGGGCCTCAAGTGTTCAAAAACGCCCAAGGGAATAGGTTTTAAAAACAGGCAATAGGATCTCCGGTCAAAACAAATCCAATGAGACTGATTGAAATGAAGACACCCCGGGGCCCAATTCCACGGAGGCGGCTCTGAATTACAGCGCTAGGACAGGTACCAGGTACGGAGCCCACAGGCTCCAGCTAGAAATCATTCTCAAACTGCAGACGTACACTAAGACCCAGTTCCTGCTCCGTAACTCACTGTCGAGTTAGGGAGACAGTTACATAAACAGCCACTCCACAAATACTTGCTGGCTGAATCTCTGTCCCACACAGTGGTATAGGCACTGGGTAGGGGTGAACCAGACAAGGACCTGCCATCTTGAATGGGGTTGGGGGAACACAGACAACAGGTAAACAATAAATAAGCACAATCCTTTCAAGTGGTGATGAGTGCAGAGGAATGAGAAAATGCTGACCTGTGCTGCTTTTGGCCACAGAGTTCAATTAAGGGAGAAAGAGGACTATAATAAAAACTTGAAGACAGGAGGCCTCTCAGGGGGTAAGTATATGTGTGTGAATTTCTCTGTCTTTGGCTGGCTGGACGTGCGGATGGAGAAGACAAGCTGTGAAGACCAAGAAATGGAGACAACAATGAGCAGAAAATATGCGTGCGAGCCAGTCAGAGCGGAATTTCCCTGTGTGTTTAGTGGAGCACATTCTCCAGGATAAGAATAGATGTCGGGTGAATAAAAGTCCTACAGCCAAATAATTTGGGGAGTAGGCATCTGGTATCGAGTGGATTAAAGGGGCTCAGAATTGGGCGCAGGAGACTGTGGCGCTAAATCCAGCATGTTGCTAATAAAGTTGGAGTGGGCGTGATGCCTACAATGGGAAGAAAATAGGCAAATGAGCAATAGAGACATTTGAAGAGGATGTGCCAAGTTTCAATCCTGGAAACCGGAGGAACAGTAAGCATGGGAGAACAGAGGAAGGTGGGGAAGAGAGCCGGTCTGGGGGGTGGAGGGAAGCACTATTAAGGCTGGTAGCATGGTTGAGAATCTATGATGTAATGCTGCATTTAGGGTGTGTTTGAGGTAGAGCTAAACATCCTTGCTTTGGAAGGTTCTGGAAGACTGATAAGAGGACTAGCTAAGGGAGGCCCTAAGTTGTAGAATTTTTGCATTCGGAGGGGTCTCAGACCCACGGCTTTTGTGGAACCCCCCTGGAACATCCCACAAAGCTGTCTTTGGAGAGCACCGATCAGCCTCTGACACAAGCTGCTTCCAGTCTCCCTGATGCCGCTCATTCCATTCTGTGCATGGGGTGGGGTTTCCCAATACCATGCCAAAGTCTGTGACCTCTACCTATGGGCTGGGGGACAAGAGCAGTTGATCCTGCCCCTGCCCACCTCTCTGTGCCTTAACCTTGGCTCTAACATTCATACCTAAAGCCGAAGAGGCCGGTGCTTATCCAATGGCACAGTTTCTGCAGGTAGATGTTTCTCAAACTGAGGTACATGGACATATTCTCAGGAGCTCACCAGTTCTACTTTTTACCTTCTTTTTGCTAAGATACTAAACAAAGCTTTGTAAACAAAGCCTAACCAGGGACATCGGATGATCACCATACAACCTCGTAAACCCTCCATCATACACCCTCGATTTCGGTGTCTGCTTTTTTGCATTTGTTTACCAATGTACAATGTTGGCCAAAATATATCACTTTTACTGTCAAAGGCTAATGAGAAAGGAAGAGAGGTGGACTTAAATTATCAATGATGTTTCTGTGCTTCTATCTGTGGAAAAGAAAGTCTCCTGATGATGAGTACGCAGAGGTTCCCAAAGTGTGGTCCTCAGACCAACGGCCACAGACAGCATCCCCTGGGAATATGTTAGAAATGCACATTCTTGGGCCCCACCCCAGACCTGCTGAATCAGACACTCTCGGGGTAGGGCCCCGCAATCTGTAATTGATATTGCTAATTTGAATATTTGGAGGCTCTTTCGGCCTCAGTTATACTTCACTTGTGAATTATTTTTGCTTATTTGTACAGAACCATAAAGTAAGTTTAATTTTACATTGGTGAACATTAAGTAAAATAAATAAAAATAACAAATCAAGAAGAGGGATTACCGAAAATGTTCTTCCTTTACAAGAAGACTTTACAATACTCAAGTTCGAAGAATACTGCCCTATGACCTTTTGCGTTTCCCTCTATCTATAGGGGACGCAGAGCTTCCTGTCACCGGTGGTGTGCATAAAATAGTGTAGAATGCTAGGGGAATGCTCCAGAATGCCACCCCTATGTTACGGTGATGGGACGGAATGCAACTGAAGGAGCATAGTAAACGCAATACGGGGCCAGGGAACCAAAGGTAAAACTGTTATGAAAGCTTCTTTCTTCGAAGAGTCCTTGAGACATCAAACTTCTTGTCTCCTAGTCACCCAAATGACTGCAAAAAAAGGACCAAAATCTCAAGTCACTGCCATTCTCCATTATCTGCCTGGGACCACCATAGAGGTAACAGATGCTTGTCCTAAAGAAGGTGCCAGCAAACTCTGTGGCCAGACCAGGATCGAACAAGTGGTTTTTATAGGAACTCTAACTTGGTTATTTTACCAAACTGTCTCCAGAATTCCATTTCTCTTAGAAGAGTATATCATCAACAAAAATGGTCACAAATCTTTAAAGAGCACCCAGCTCTCTCAACCCAGGGTCTCTCATCTACAAAATATGGATAATAAAAGTACCTTCCTCTCAGGTTATATGAGGGTCAAATGAACTAAGCCACAAAAAGTGCTAAATGCTGTCCCTGGCATAAATACGGTGCCTGATAAATGTGATCTGTCGTTTCATCACAAAACTTTAAAACACAACAGGAGAAAGAAGCTACAATTTGTATCCTAATGCCAAGTAATAAAGGAAACCTATGTCAATAGTCATGCAGTCCTAGGAGATTTTAAGAGGGAAACCAGATTGAGCATCTTAATTCCTCTCCCCGAGAGGAAAAGATACCCCTTGTATCTGGATAAAGAAAAATCTAGTCCTTTTGACGTTTCGGAAGTGCGTGAGAATACCAAGGAAAAAATGTGGAATGCAGTTTATAAATCTCTGTAATCCCACAGAATTAGTAGGAGTTTCCAAACACGTTCAGAATTTCCTGATGTGTCTTTTGAAATTTGGCCTGGGGTTTTTCTAGCTTCTCCGTGGCAGATGTGGGGCCCCCGAGAATCACACATAGTTTTAAAGAGAGAGAGAGTGATGAGACCCTGGGATGAAGGAAGGCAACAAGCAAATACAATGCAGGCTTTTCCAAGCAGAGGGAATAGGGGTGGAAGGTAACCCAAAGATCCCGGCCACTATGGAACACTATGTTGTTAAAAGAGAAAGAACAGGAGAGACTTAAGGGAGCTGGAAGAAGCGGGGAAGGGACTTATGAAATATAAATGTGGAATCTTTGGGATTAAATCAGGAGCCAAATGGTGGTCCTGATATTTAGTCTGATACACAAAAATATTCCCTAAAGGAAAAGCTGGGGTACCAGCTGCCATCCTGAAAAACAAAAGTCACCATTCCCTGGAGAAGTCGGCTGGGAACTTTAACAAGCCGCAAGGGACAAACAAATCCATTGACAGAGCTGCGCTGCCAGGTAAAGGGTCTGATTCCCAGTCCTGACGGGGCAGGTGGGCAGAATCCCCAGAAACTGCCCCGTTTATCACCAGAGTGCAGCTGAGAAAACCTTCGCTGACACACCTTGCTTCTGTGAGATTCTTCAAAAGAGACATTGCCTCGGAGAAATAAAAAACAACTCTCCACCTAAAAGCAATATCCTTCTATCTTTCAGTAAACTTGCAATATAACTTCTGATTAAAGGTCTTGAAAGTAGAGTGGGAACGAATCCATCCATTTGGAAAATCTCAAACTTCATGATCGCTCCATTAAGTGATCTGTTTTCAGCAAGAAGTTATTGCCTTGTGAATTTTAAGACTTTTTTCCATTCTTTCTTCCTTCCTCTCTGCGATTTTAAATGTACATGCTAGCTACAAAAAAAAAAAAAAAAAAAAAAAAGTCTTAGATTTTATAACTGAAAAATCTTGGAAGCTAAAGGAATCTTCTCTCTTAAAAATTAAAAGCCCTAAGCTACGCAAATGAGCCACAGGTCTCCTCTTTCCATCCCCTTCAT